CCCCCGCCAGCATCCTCCGCCAGCCCCGCTCGGCGCCGCGGACCCGCCTGCCGCTCGCCCCCCGGGACGCCTCGGCGCGCCTCCGGGTTCGCGCTGCGATTCGCTGGGCCCTGCGGGTCTGGGAGTCCCGGCCTTGCACTCCGGCTAACGTGGCAGCCTTTCCCCTCCTGGGTCTCCACCTGAGTCTGCTTCCCGCCGGCGACGTTAGTGCTTGGTCATGGGGTCTCCCGGTGCCCGGTGCGTTCCACACGTTCGTCTTTTCTGATGCCAGCCCGGCCCTTCCCGGCCCGGCTCCCCTGATGCAGCAGCTCCCGGGCTCCAGCCCGGTCACACCGCCTTTTCTTTTCTTATTCTTCCAAGTTAACTTTAAGGCGATCCTCACTTCTTACCTCCGACCTACCCAGTCATTACTGGGATCCCCAGGAAGCCTCCAGGTCTGGTCCGCCAGGTGGTCCCTGGGTGATGCTCCATCAGGACTTGTTGGCCGGTTCTTCCCGCAGCCACCCCAGCTCACTCCTCTCCTGCCTCTCATTACCGCTTTCCCAATGGTCCCCGGCCTCTCCGCTGCGCCTTCGAGCTCACATGCCAGTTGCAACCTCGCTCCCCAGCGAGAGCCCCCAACTTGCCTCTGCAATTGAAACAGCGTGGGTACCAGCAGGCCGGTCCCCTGTGCGGTTCTCGGCGTGTGGGAGTTTGCTTTCTGGTTCTTGCATCTGCACTGTTCCCTGTGCAGTCCCAGGACACCGACCCTGACTCCAGCTCCAGCTTTAGTTCCTGCATCGTAGGTCTAGCATGTCACTGGGAATGGTGGGGCAGCTCTGGACTTGGTGTTGCTGCCGTGGCCTGGGATCCGGGTACCATATGTTGTATACAGTCAAGTGAGTTGTGTGCTTAGACCCCTGGTCTGGCTTTTTCAGCCAGTGGATGTGTTCGTATTGTGTGTGATTCGATGGATTAAAGGGCCCCAGTTTGCCCTCCATTTTACATCTGTGGTTGGAGTTTGGAATAGAAAAAAATAGACCCACTTTAGAGCAGAGGTGAGAAGAGGCTGGCAGCCATGTGAAGGATTTAAAAAATTCTAACAAGAAAATGTAAAATGGCTTAAAACTCACAAAGTCTGCTTGAGAGTTTGGAGTGGTTCTCCAGTCTGGATAGAGTGTCTAGGCAGCCGTGGGCAAACTACGGCCCGCGGACCGGATCCGGACCGTTTGAAATGAATAAAACTAAAAAAAAAAAAGACCGTACCCTTTTATGTAATGATGTTTACTTTGAATTTATATTAGTTCACACAAACACTCCATCCATGCTTTTGTTCCGGCCCTCCGGTCCAGTTTAAGAACACATTGTGGCCCTCGAGTCAAAAAGTTTGCCCACCCCTGGTCTAGGGACTTCTGGGTCCCCTCCTGAGGCAGCTGCAGCCTCTCTTCCTTGTTTTCCCTGGCTGGAGCCCAAGACTGGGCAAGTGGGCAGAAGGGATCAAATGAGTTAAAGTGTGAAAGTGCTTTAAAAACTTAACTAGTAGACATGCTGCGCATTTGTCAGGACAGTTCAGAGAGTATAGAGCTCGGATAGCTGACCAGCCAAGAGGATTGGGCTTACGCTGTGTGTTTGTGTGTGTGTGTTTGTACATTCTTATTGATTTTTTTTTTTTTAAGGGAGAGAGAGAGAAACATTGATCAGTTGCCTCTTGCATGTGCCTGGATGGGGGCTCAAACCCACAACCTGAGTGTGTACCCTGCCCAGGAATTGGAACCCGCCACCTTTTGGTGCATGGACGATGCTCCAACCAACGGAGCCACAGCAGCCAGGGCCTGCGCCGTTTTTTAAGCCTCAGAGAGTTCTCATTTACCATGCAGGGAGAATCTTTCCATCCTGACCAAGGGCGGAGTCACCTCCAACAGGCTTGAGGCTGGGCAGTTTCTCAAATGTTGGGGAATTTGGGATTCTACTTCTGTTAATAGTGGTACCTTTCTGTGCCAAGGCACATTGCTTTGGATTGGGACTAATTTTAGGGGTGATGGAATGAGGAAGTGATGTTCTTAGCTTAGTGTGTACTGGGACTGCCTATTCTCTGGATCTTTACCTTCTCCTGTGGGTTCTGAACCCGAGAACAGGCTCCCCTCCTGTTCCTTCAAGCCTGTTGTGAGCGCCCAGGATCAGTGTGTCCTGTCCCCATGACTCCAGCAGGGGGCAGCCTTTTAATAGTAATAATTCAGACGCCAGGAGAGTGAGGGTATACTGAGGCCTGAGAAAGAAGAGCTGGTAGAGGAGGCAGGCAGATGAGGAGGGGGTGGGGGCTAAGTTGGAAGGAGCCTGTGAGGAGATCCTTAGATCAGGTCGCCAGGAAAGGCCTTGTCCCCACTACTCTGCCTGCTGACTCCCACCCTTCCATGGAAGGGATCCAAATGCTTGGCTTTGAGAGTTTGTAATAGAGAAACTTAGGATAATTTTTTTTAAAACCTAGGTTTTTCCCAATGATTTCCCTCCTGACAGGATTTCAGATTTCTCTCATGGGACAGTATAATTAGGGAATTATTTCCTTGCTCTTCATTGGGGAGAATGAACTTCAATTAATTTGGTTTCTCTGGTCTTTCATTCTCTATAAACAGAGAATAGGCATTACTTCTGCTTGTGGCATAGAGGAGGGTTTCTCAACCATGGCAATAATGACATTTAGGGCCAGCTAATTCTCTGTTGTGGAAAGCTGTGCTATGCATTATAGGATGTTTAGCAGCATCCCTGGTCTCTACGCATTAGATGCCAGTAGCACCTTCCAGTGATGCCAGATATGTCTCCAGATTTTGCCACACGTCTCCCCGTCCCTTCCCCCAAGTTGAGAACTGCTGGCTTCGAGGAAGCATGTGGAAAGATACATGCCTATTTAGAAGAGTGGAAATTATGGGAGGCATGCGTGCTGCTTGGCAAGGAAGGGCCAGTCAGCTACCAGCTCTGGGACCAGATTCTCCTCCTGGAGTCTTGGCCTTTTTCTCCAGCTGCTCCTATGCTCCCCACCCGACCCCTGACTGCTTCTCATTTTGCCTCTGCAGATATCTTGCTTCTCACACTGGGAGCCGTTTTTCTTCACTTTGCTCATACAGGACAGAGAGGCAAAGGCAGCTGTGGAAAGCACCAAGGAGTGCCGCCTTTGCCCCACTCCCTGGCGGGGTGGCAGGGTGAGTTGTCCCTTTTCTGTTCCCCTCTCCCCATAGCAGCCTTCCATGCCACAGGACTCCTTTGTTCCTCTAGAACAGCGGTTCTCAACCTGTGGGTCGCGACCCCTTTGGCAGGCGAACGACCCTTTCACAGGGGTCGCCTAAGACCATCAGAAAACACATATATAATTACATATTGTTTTTGTGATTAATCACTATGCTTTAATTATGTTCAATTTGTAACAATGAAATTGGGGGTCACCACAACATGAGGAACTGTATTAAAGGGTCGTGGCATTAGGAAGGTTGAGAACCACTGCTCTAGAAGATGGGCTATTCTGGAGTGAACTGGAGGAGGCTCAGAACAGCCTCTCCTAAGATTTGTTTGAAGGAATTTGAGGTGTTTTTCTTAAAATGGGGAAGACTTAAGTTTGTGATAGCTATCCCCAAATGCCTTTTATTGTTTTCCTTAAACCTTTTTTTTTAATGGTGGTAAAATATAACATATGCCATTTTAACCATTTTTAAATGCAAAGTTCAGCAACATTAAATACATTCACATTGTTCAGCTATCACCACCATCCATCTCCAGAACTTTTTCATTTGCCCCATTTCAGCTGAAACTCTGTACCCATTAAACATCTCCTCTTGCCCCAGATCCCCGCCCCCGCCCCCATTCTACTCTCTTCTCTCTTTGAATTTGAGTCCTCTAGGAATCTCATATAAGAGGAATCATACAATGTCTGTTCTATTGTGACTGGCTTGTTTCACTTAGCACAGTCTTTAAGGTTCATCCATTGTCCAAATCGCATAATGGTTGTAGCATTGAAAGAAGTAACCTTACTCTGCTGTCTGGGAGGCTTACTTGCATTCCATGAAGGGAAGAGCTTTTCAACAGACTTGTCTTCTGACGGCCGTGTGTGCCGTATCGTGTTCCATCACCAGGAATATCCAGCCAGAGCAGTTGTAGAAGAGATGCCCGTGCTGGGAGAGGTCAGCCCCATTCTAGCTGGTCTTAAAAGCTCCGTTTCATCCTGAGATGCT